TCAAGCTGATGGCAAAGGTGCCGGGTGCGAAGTCGAGAATCCACGTAAAGCCCGCGGCCTTCTCGCCAAAGATCGGGAACTCGCCGAGGCCGTTGAAGCAAAACACAAAGATGCTCCAGACGTACGCAAACACGCCCGACTTGAGGAGCACGTTCCATTGGTACTCGACGGCCTCCTTGGACGTGTGGAGCGTCTTGATCATGACCGCGGTGGCCGTACCGCTCGGGAAGAGGAGGCGCATCTCGATGATAAACTTGCGGCGGAGCGGGAACGAGATGAAGAAGCCGAAGAGAGCGATGCTCGCGCACCACCCAAACGAGCGGAGCCACGTAAAGTCGATGACATCCGACGCGAGGTTGCCCGCGTACGTCGTGTTGCCCATGATGAGGAAGACGTTCTCCGTGAGGCCGAGGATGCCAGAGCCAAACCCGGCCTGGCTGGCCAAACTCATGCACGCGACCGCGCACGTCTGGATCACGACGTTTTCTTGGACGGTAAAGTGCTTGCCAAAGAACTGCGTCTTCATCAAGGCGCGGCAGAGCATGAAGCCACCGATGCCCGAAAGCACGTTGAGCGACGGTGTAACGCCGAGCTTGAGGCTGTAGTACATGGCGAGGACGCTCGTAAACGTGCCCATAATCGTGCCGACGACGAGCGACTTGATCGTCACCTGCGGGTGCTCGAGGCCCGACGTAATGACCTCGAACTCGGCTGCGTGCTTGGCTTCGTTGGCGACAGCATCGTCGGCGTTCTCGTCCCACTTGGGCGTCGCCGCGACCTTGTACTCGGACACGACGCTGTTCTGCGCGGACCGCATTGGATTTGGTGTGGCTGCGGGGCAGAGGGCAAAAGGAAGACTGATGCATTGCGCCTGGGTTTTGTGAGGAGGTGATGTACCCACCCACACGCTATAGTATCATTGTCGCAGCATGGATTCTGATAATGCAACATCTGTTCTCTGGAAGCATCACACGCCCGCTTATCGGATCCAGTCGATTTTCGGATCCGATTGCACAAGCACGTGAAAAATGTCGACAGTATTATCCACACACGGGTGAGTTAGACGGGTGGATCGTGGTGCCCACCAAGCAAGACGCGCGAAAGATCCTGCGACGGAGACCACGTGTGCGTACCCACCATCGTCTTCTACGGTCACGATATGGTCCGAGCTTGGGATGCCCACGTGTATTCGTCCGAGTACTACGGTACATCACGTCTCAGTCCTCCTCGCAGCTCTGGTTGGTGAGGTTGGCGCGGTCGACGCTACGTATCCAGCTGAAGAAACTCTACTGGCAAAGCAAACAAAGTTGTCTAGAGCTATCGGAGAACGGAGAGCTACAGGTGGAGGTTTGGAGGCTTGAGCGAGCGGTGACGGTGGAAACGAGCCGTATCGCGATCAACGAAGAAGATGGAGAGAGCCGGTGGAGGCTGTGGCTGCAGCCTCAACGTTTTCTGTGGCCACGTCCACGGTGCAGTCGTATGGTTTCACCATCAAATCTTGAAGCTTACAGCCACGTGATCAACACTCTTGAGCTCTGACGTTCTCAGATGGAGACTCGCCGGTCGAGCACGGCGAGAGGTGATCAGTGTATACAGTCCTCCACGACGGCTGCTACAAGGCATGGGCTACACTACACGTACGTTATCTATTTGGCAAAAGGTGCTCCTTTGGCATCGCGGTATCCATCCGTTGTGGCTGCAGCAGTACACTGCACCGTGCAATCCGAGATTCTAAGATACAGACTCACTTCAAGGATCTACGGCAAGTGTACCGTAGCACCCTCCAAAATGGTTTTCTACGGACCCAGACCAGCCATGACTTTGCTGTTTTGGGAACAGCAACGAACCGCGAGGACTTGCGGGGTACGCGCAGCGCGCTTGCAGAAATCTGAAACACGTTGAGACCGGACACATCGACCTTCGTGTTTACACCTGTGGCCCTCGTGGCGGAATCGCAGAGCTAGGACCGCGAACGTGATCGGGTGCAGAAAACGTTTCCGGTGCTCTTTTTGTATTTCACACGTGAAAAAGTCAATTGCATCTATTTCTCACATGTCGTGTGTGGAAGCGTATCCGGATACAGTGTTTCCACAGGCTAACCGAGCAGGCGCTCGCTGCCAGCGTTCATGTACGTCTCTGCGCATCTGACTATCAGCTCACAGCGCTTCGACGCCAGCCGATTACAGTGACCAGGTACTGCTACCACGGTCTGCAGCCTGCCGACGCCAGAATGGATAGCCCAAATGCTGCGATATTGCCATGCACTAGGCCAGGCTGATACTTGTAGTACTAGTACACACTGTAGTAGCGCAGATTTGGGCAGCGTCGCCGAGCATGTGCGCTTCAAGGTGACGTTGATGCACCAACAGCGATGGCACCAAGAGGACGTTGTGGTGGTCGTCGACTTGGCCACGACGTGCCTCGTGCTTTCCGCGGGTACCCAAAAGATGACGATGGTGGGCTTGTGTTAGCACGCAGCGCAGTACCATGATGGCAGCAAGGCGGTTTGGACACTCTGCGTCACAAGTGCTGCAGTGCGACGCAGTGTACACTCGACGCCCAAGACGGCGTCCAACATGCACCAAGCCGCGTTCCGCTACCTCTGGCCCGTGCTCCGCGCCTGCGTCTGGCGTGTGGTTCAACCGCTGGCGAGTCCGGAACGATCGCGTCTTCCGCGCCGACCTACCGCTGCCAAGTCCATGGACGATTGCCGTCAAGGCGGCGCACTTGCACCACAGCCTCGTACAAGAGCCCGAGCAGCCTGCTCTTCGTCGGCTTCTCCGGCTCATCGCCCAACACGAATGGCCGCGACGTCACCTCGTCCCACGAATCGCACTCCTGCCTCCGCCTGCCTAAATCAAGTTCCTCAACCGAGTACACACAACGAAGAAAGTCCGACAATTCTATTTAGCATAGTTGCATCTATTGCAATAGACGACCACTTCAACAACAACGACGCAGTGTACTGACGATACCCAAGTAACGTCACAAGAGTTGGCTGCAACGAGCGCGCGACGCATTCACCAAATAGTGCCGAGCGCTCGCGCTTCTTCTCGACGCAGTGGGCGTCACGCCAAAGACTGCGGTCAACGCTCTGCTATCGCATCTTTGTACACGCCATTACGAGGTCGGGATACGAAGGACTTTGAGCTTAATCGCGACCCTTGCTCGAGCCACTTTCTCCGATTGGCTAAAAACACCGCAATTACGAAAAATCACAGTATTTAGATACATTGCGAGCCAGGCCCAACCAGTGAAATAGTGTGCGATGCACCAAGATCCCATACTCACGTGCTCACGGACCCACAGACCCACCAGCATCGGCTCCTGCCTCTCGAAAGACGCACATTATCATGTGGAAGTCAAATCCGATGCCACACGCGGCGAACGCCAGCGAATTCACAAAGTTGTTTTTCAAGTGGCGATTTCAACATACAGCTACACACATTGCGCGCGCCTAGCTCGAGGGCTCCGATGACCTCGAGTCTACCCTCCACAGTTGGTCATGTATGTCGACTCGGTCTGTGACCAGCGTTGGTGGCACCATTGTCGCTCGAGCTTTCACAGCGCCGCGGAGTTGCCGAGGCTCGATTTCGGCAGATTAACGCATGCCAATTCGGGTGAAATTGCGCTTTTCTTCCGGAAGCCAAGGATGTAGACTCTCTTAATAGATGTTGGAGAGCATGCTGCATGGCGTAATGAAGGCTGACACACGCGATAAGACGCCGTTTGCAAAAGCGTACAGTATTTGGATGCATACACTATAAGAATTATCTGAGCATCCAAATAGTAAGGCAACGGCGACACCACGCCCTCGTCCATTTCTCTTGCTACAGAGTTCCGATGGTGCCGCCGCATAGCATTTCGGACGCCCCAAAGTCGTCTTTATCATCCAGCCAAGTATGGGCGATTTCATTTGAAACTTGATTTGGCCGATCTCGCGAGTCGGCGGCAGCGATTAGCGTCTAAATGTGACTATGATTGGTTCATATTGGTGAACGCCAAAATAACGAATCGGTCGCTTGATCGTGCTGGAGGTTGTAGCCGACAACACTGCGTAGCGCACCGGCCGTCCATGGGCTTAGGGACACGATGCTGCACAAGATCATGCTACCAAAGGCTTAAAATTCGAGTTTTTGATATCCTTGAGACTCTCAAGCTAGAACATCCTTCGACACAAGTGTCGTCGTCACGATACAACGTCAATATTGCGGGTTCATTTAGAACGTTCTCAATGAAAAGACGAACGTCCATCGCACTGGCAGCTAGCTCCTGCACGCAGACGTGTGCGACCTCGTGCGTCAACTCGTGTCGACCACTTTGAAATAGCATCCAAAGCAGCAGATGCCTGCGTATCCGGTATTTCCGGATACGATGCCATTCAAGCAAGTGATGGCAAGCAAAACGAGACGACGCCATCGTCCGTGCTCGTCTGACGCTGGCACTCGAGGCTCGAGGCGTCATCATACGCCGCTGAGCATCAATAATGTGGTAGCCACAGCGCGCTCACGCCCGGCTTGGATCCCGCGGCCTTTCAACCTGCTGCCAGCATCACGACCCTTCGCTTGATTGCCATGGTACTCGCGCTCGCGCTCCGCGTCGTCGAGCTTACCGGGTATGCGCTCCGAGGTGACGCGACTGTTTGCCACCGAACGTCGCGCCGTGTGCCGTCACCAAGTGTCATCGTCGACCAAGACCAAAGCATTCGCGCACTGCAGGCAGACGCAGCAGCAATCTTCGTCGTCGGCAATCGTCGACTATGCATGTGGGTAGCATGTTGGAGGTGCGCCGATTACAAGACGCCAGACAGCCGTGGCGCTCAAACTCGGCCACGCGAACAGAATAGGCCCACTATTGTGTTGCTGCCCTGCCTGCCAGGGCGTGGGCGAGGCAGTTTCTATCAACCAATACAGTAGTGGCCTAAACTTGAAACATATATATTTTTCAACCACGTATGGGCAAGTATCCACGCTACTTGAAACACTTACTTGCCGACGTAGCTGGCGACGGCAGCCTCGATTTGCTGGTGGGCCCAGACCATGTGGCCCGAGTCTGTCGGGCGCGGCGCGCTCATGTCGGCGCAGTGCGACGTGCCTTCGATATAGACGACCTTGGACTTTGAGTTGGCGAGGTGCGTCGAGTTGTCGGGGGCGAGGGCCGACCATGGGTCGAGCGTGCCGCTGGGAAAGATGACGTTCTCGACGTTGATGTCGAGGCCGTGGAAGGTCGCCATCTTGGCCGCGATGCGCGCGTCCGAATTTTCAATGCCGTACACGTCCTTGCAGAGCTGGTAGTAGACGTTCTTGGCGCTGAGGTACTTGAGCTCCGAGAAGGGCGACGTAGACGTGAGGCCCGTCTGGCCAAAGCCAAACTCGGCGCACGTCTGGTAGGTCCATTGGCGGTAAATGTTGACGGTATCCGTCTCGGTCTTCTTGAGCCAGATCACGTACTGGTTGATGTAGTCGCTCGCCGAGCAGTTGTCGTCCGGCGTATCCGGGTTCCACGAGAGCTGGTTGATCTTGGCGACCTTCTCGAGCGGCGTGAGGCCGTTCTTGGCCGTCAAGTCGGCGCACGCCTGCTTGAGCGCGTATTTTTCGTAGTCGTTGCCCTGCGCAAAGCCCTGGTACGTGCCCATGATGGACTGCTCGAAGAGCATCTTGTCCATCTCCGAGCCGAACGCCGTGCACGGCTTGAAGAGCTTCTTGAACGTCGCGGCGTCGGCCGCGTCCTTGGACTCGACGAGCGCGTGCACCTGCTTGAGGCCCTCGCGGAGCGTGTTGAGGCACTCGTCGCCGCCGTACTGCTTGAGGCCGCGAGCGACAATGTCGGCGTACTGGTGGAAGTCGGCGACGAGGTCGATCGGCGCCGAGCTCGCGACCGAGCCGACGAAGCGCTTGGGCAGCTGGAGCTTGGTCCAGGCTGCGAGCATACCAGGGTAGCTGCCGCCAAAGGCGACCCACGGCGACGCCGCCGAGATGTTGCGGTTGCCGACAAAGAAGTCCTGGAAGGTCGCAATGTCGCCGATCGCGTTGTCGGCCGAGAGATACTTGAGGTTCTCGTCGCTCATGTCCGACGTCGGCTGGGACTTGCCGTAGAAGCGGTGCTCGAGCGCCACGAGGAGCGCCTTGTGCGTCTGCGCCATCTTGACAACGTGCATGCCCTTGCTCGTAATGTACGCGGGCTCCGCGACGTTCTCACCGTGGATGTAGAGGAACACGGGCGACCCGGCGCCGCCATAGAACTCGTCGTTGACGTGGTACCGCTGCTTCCAGTACGCCGTCGTGTTGCCGCCGCAGTTGTCATGGCCGTGGTCAAGGATCTGCTTGTCAAAATAGAGGTCCGGGAGGCCAGCCTCGAGCTGGCCGTCGAGCTGGAGGCGCTCCAAGATCGTGTTCTTGTGCTGGAGGGTCGACGCGGCGTTGGCGGCGTCGGCAGCCACGAGGTAGGCGGCAAAGGCCGCAACAGCAGCGAACGAGCGGACCATGGCGATGGAAATTGGAAAATGAGCTATCGACGGCCATCGCAGCAAGTGTACTCAGAATCTGCCGCAGGAAAGACGGGCTCCGTCCAATCTGAGTTTGCACCAATCAGACCGTGTTCCAAATCGCCGTAACGTGCTTCCTAGAACACATGTTGTCGTCGCAATCTGATTTGCACGGTCCTAGGATTGAAAGTCGGGAAAGTAGCCTCAAAATACCGTACAATGAGTGGAATGCACCTGGAAATTCGACCCCTGACTCAGCGTAGGAGGTGAGGGCCGCGACGTCGACGCGTCCCAAAAGTTGAATGCTCTGGACAGGACCATGTCGCTGCATGGTAACGCAGGCGAAATCAGATCGACCCTACTCCACAGCAAGGGAATCACATTGACAATTCCTAGTCCACAGCAACCGAATCAGCAACTGCAATCACAACGTCAATTGCCGCATCGAATCCTTTGTGATCGCTGTCAGTAGGTAAATGCTGCCCATGTTTGGGTGCTGCGGCCAATTAGTCTTGGAAAACGCACTTGGGTACGAAATGTGATCTCGGTCCCGGTGCTGAGCAGGACAGGGCTCTGAGCACCTGGACAGGGCTTGCCGTTTTCGTTGCAGCCCATAGGTACTGTTATAGTAGCCTCGCACGTCTCCGAGTCTGATAGACAACGACGGCTCACATTGATTGCTTGACACCACGAAGCCACGAGCAACGCACGAGACATGGAAGCGCCGAGGAGCACGACGCATCACGGGTGATGCACCCAATTTATGGATAAAGTTTTCAACACCAATTGGCTGCACGCAGAGTGCGTTTCGCTGTGCTGAGGTTAGAGTATTTCTTTTCTATTTTCCAACAATTGTGCGGCGCCATAGCGTTGAAGACGTTCTGAAAGCAGGTCGACGGCGTGACACTCTACACGACGACGGGATCTCGTAAATGGAAAGCGTTTAGTTCACACCGTCATGCTCGATCGGATCATGCACATCACAAGGATAGAGTGGTATACACCAACAAACGAAATGATTATACTGAAACAATGGGCAGCAACAAGACTCTCCGTGCTCGCAACACGTTTTACTTGCTCACAAAGCTCGCGATGGCGGTGTCGATCTGCGCGTGGCCAGCGACGAGCGCTGGCGAGTCCGTGGCGCGGGGCGTGTACATATCACCGCAGTGCGAGACCCCCTCGATGACGACGGCCTTGGACGTCGGGTTGGCAAGGTGCGTCGAGTTGGCGACCGAGAGCGCCGACCACGGGTCGATGGTGCCACCAGGAAAAATGACGTTGCCGACGTCGATGGCGAGACCGTGAAAGTCAGCGCGCTTGGCGGCGATGCGGGCGTCCGCGTCCGTGATGCCAAAGACGTCCTTGCGCATTTGGTAGTAGACATGGTCGGCGGTCACATATTTGAGCTCGGAAAACGGTCCCGTACTCTTGGCAGCGGTCTGGCCAAAGCCAAACTCGTTGCAGGTCTGCCACGTCCACTGGCGGTTGATGTTTTCGGTATCGATCGCAGTGCCCGAGACACCAGTGACCCAGTCGGCCTCGTAGCTGGATCCGGTGTAATTGTTGGTCGCCGAGAAGCCGCGCGCGTTAATCTTGGCGACCTTCTCGAGCGGGCTCAAGCCGTCCTTGGCCGTCAAGTCGGCGCACGCGTTCTTGAGGACGTACGAGTCCCAGTCGTTGTCCCGGGAGAAGCCCTGGTACGCGCCCATAATGTTGGCCTCAATGTCCATGCGGTCGTGGTCCGACGTAAACGGCGTGCACGGGTTGAAGAGCTTCTTGAGCGTCGCGACGTCGTCCGGCTTGTCGCTGGCGACAAGCGTGTGCAGCTGCTTTAGGCCTTCCTGGAGCGTGCTCGTGCAGGCGTCGCCGCCGACCGTCTCGAGGCCACTCGCGACAACGTTCATGTACTCAAAGTAGTCGGCCTTGATGTCGATCGGCGCCGAGCTCGCAATCGAGCCGGCAAATCGCGTCGGGTACTTGTGCCCGCTCTTTGTCAAGGAGAACACGATCCTCAAGAACCTCCAGAAGTTTGAGCGCAATAACCACCTCGAGGACACGGCCGCGCCGCTTCCGGACCAGTGGTTTGAGAAACAGGTCCTTGACCACACCCACGACAAGTGCGGCGCGCCCACGTACTGGAAGCAGCGCTACCACGTCAACGACGCTTACTACAAGGGCGCCGGCTCGCCAGTCTTTTTGTACATTCATGGTGAGAACGTCGCGACGCCCGGCTACATCACCAGCACTGGCATGTACATCGTCGCGGCCGCCAAGAAGTACGGCGCGCTCCTTGTCGCGCTCGAACACCGCTTTTACGGCAAATCGCAGCCGACATCGGGCATGTCGACGGCCAACCTCGCCTTCCACACGTCCGACCAAGCGCTCGCGGATCTCGCGACCTTCCAGGACTACTTTGCAGCGAACCGCAGCATCCCGGCGTCGTCGCCGTGGGTCGCCTTTGGAGGCAGCTACCCCGGTATGCTCGCAGCTTGGGCCAAGTTCAAGTTCCCGACGCGCTTTGCCGGCTCGATTGCGAGCTCGGCGCCCATCGACATCAAGGCCGACTTTCACGAGTACATGAGCGTTGTCGCGCGCGGCCTCAACACGCTCGGCGGCGACGCCTGCACGAACACGCTCGCGGAAGGCCTCAAACAGTTCCACGCGCTTGTCGCCAGCGACCAGCCGGACGACGTCGCGACGCTGCAAAAGCTGTTTAACCCGTGCTCGCCGATGAAGACGGACCTTGATAAGATGGACATCGAGGCCAACATCATGGGCGCGTACCAGAACCTCGCGCAGTCCAACGATCATCTGCCGTACGGCCTCAAGGCGGCGTGCGCCGACCTCACGGCAGCCAACGGTCTCTCGGCGCTCGAGAAGGTCGCCAAGATCAACGCGCGCAGCTTCTCGGCGACCAACAACTGCACCGGCTCTAACTACCAGGCCGACTGGGTCGACGTGATCTCGGGCACGACGACCGACACGGTGGGCATCTACCGCCAGTGGACGTGGCAGACCTGCAACGAGTTTGGCTTTGGCCAGACCGCTGCCAAGAGTACGGGACCGTTTTCCGAGCTCAAATATGTGACCGCCGACCGTGTCTACTACCAAATGCGCAAGGACGTCTTTGGCATCACGGACGCGGACGCCCGCATCGCCGCCAAGCGCGCTGACTTTCACGGTCTCGACATCGACGTCGGCAACGTCATCTGGTCCGGCGGTACCATCGACCCGTGGTCGGCACTCGACTACCACAACCAGACGCAGCCCAAGAACCCGACGTCCAAGGTCGTCTTTATTGAAGACACGTCGCACTGCGGTGACATGAACGCGCCGTCCAAGGACGACTTGCCGTCGCTCGTCTGGGCCCACCAGCAAATCGATGCGGCAATCGCAGGTTTTATTAGCAAGTAAATGCAAACGTTTACATTATCACATACGAGAAGTGCGTCATAGGGCGTTGTTGTTGCAGGTACTAGTAGTCAACCACTACACACGAAGTCGTTCTTGGTGTGCTGTAGTTGAATACTGTACTAGTATAAGAATATGTTCTTAGTAAAATCATTTTTTATACAATACGTCATATCTTGGCGCGGACGAAGTGACCGGAAGCTGGCAAAGCGAAATACATTGTGCATCCTCTTTGCCCTCACGAGCGATTAGTACGCGGCGGATTGACTTCATCGCGGTGCATGGTGCTGGACTGATCGCAAGGCCGCGAACATTGCGGCAAGGAGTTTCTTGAACCGTTGAACCTTCACATCGGGTCCGACTACTAACCAGCCCATTGCTTCAAGCTCAAACCATGATATGCAGTCATATGCAGTGCTCTCGGGCTGCCACGTCAAGCACCACGCAGCGTCGAGAGTGGGCCGCATACAAGGAAGCGTCGCAGTCCATCCCAAAGGAGGCACAAATGCACCAATCAAAGGCGCGTAAAACGTCGCGACGATTTGAAACGACCAATCAAACCGCTGCGTTCACATCAGTGAGCTCTTGACGGGACATTTGGCCCGCTGCGAGTTACAAGTGGGCGACGACGCGCTGTGGTAGGCTGCTGCGTTGCTTGTCACGCGTCTGGGGAGCGGCTCTACGTCCCCGTTGGCCAAGGTACTACTTACGCTGGGTGCGGCGGATACGCAGCCGGAGAAGCGACGCGTTCTCGGATCACGCAATAGGCACAACAAGTGCTTATTAAATGTCGCCCCGCCCATCGCTGGACGACTCGCTTCAAATGGGCACGGCTGTGACGTTGGCGCCTCCGAGCCACTTATCAAAATCGACCATGGTCGACGCACCCGCCTCGCTCGAAAGCCAAGCCGAAGCGCTGCTGCCGCCGCCGGCGCCGACACCGTCGCGCGCCCGGTGGATCATCGGCGTCATCTGCGTCGTGATCGTGGCCATCATCTGGACCTTCTCGAGCGTGCTCATCCAGTACGTCTTTAAGGACCTCGACTTCAGCCGGCCCTTCTTCTTGACGTACTACGCCAACTCGCTCTTCGCAGTCAACCTCCCGCTCTACTACATTGGCAAGGCGCTCGGCTACGTCAAGCCCAGCGCGCACCAAGCTAACTTTCGCGAGACGCTCGTCATCAGCGCCATCATCGCGCCGCTTTGGTTCATCGCCAACTACACGTACACCATCAGTCTCAGCATGACGAGGTACCTGCTCCACACTCTTCCTATACGCCTGACCTTTACCATTGGCGAGTAGTGTCACGAGCAGCACCATCATTAGCTCGACCTCGGCCATGTTCACGTTCGCCCTCAGCATCTATTTCCTTGGCGAAAAGTTTACCTGGCCCAAGCTCGCCGGTGTCGCGCTCTGTATGATCGGCAACTCGTGCACGGTCTTCAACGACTCGACCGGCAGCGGCAGCGAAGGCGTCTGGGGCGACATCCTCGCGCTTGTGGGCGCCATCATGTACGGCGTCTACACGACGGCGATCCGCTTCAAGATCCCGGACGAGACGAAGGTGAGCATCTGCCTCTTCTTCGGGCTCCTTGGTGTCGTCAACGCGGTCGGTCTCCTCCCGTTTGTCCTTGCGTTCCACTACACGGACGTCGAGAGCTTGAGCGACCTCACGGGCAAGATCATCGGCCTCATCACGGTCAACAGTCTCTTCAACAACGTTCTTGCCGACTACCTCTGGGCGCTCTCGATGCTCTTCACGACGCCGACGGTGGCCACGATCGGTCTCTCGCTCACAGTGCCGCTCGCGATCGTCTCGGACTACGTCCGTCACTCGATCTCGCCGACTGCCGTCACGTGCATTGCGTCCGCCTTCGTCGTTGCTGGTTTCATCCTCATCAACGTCACGAGCAAAAAAGTCACGGACGAGACGCCTCTCCCAGCGGCCGAGAAGACCGAATCGTAGTCGCAGTGTAGTGGTTAATATGTTAATGAGGTGTTTTGCCTTGCTCGTCGATGGGCAGAGCCGTGGCGGTCGCAAGCGCGGGATGGATGACCACCGAGAGGAGATCTCGGGTCGAGATGTGGATGGTGGGCTCCAATACGATCCTCGAATGCAGGTTTTCAGCGCCCGTTTTCTGTGACGCCAATCTCAAGAGTAGCGCTTCAACGAGAGCGTGCTTGGGGCACTGCACTTCTGGGTCCATCGATATCAGAACGGCGTTCAATTGTAGTAGCAAGATGACGCGTAAAGTCGATTCCGCCGGTCGCCGATGCTGCCACCTCTGTTCGACGTCGTCCTTCTGGCGCGTAGCCGTACCACTGCACTCACACCCATTGGGGTCGCATTGGCACGTGAAATAGCATTTCGTACGGGCTTCCTGGATGGTTCTTGGCTTGAACTATGAAAGAAGCCCGCAACATTGGACTCGACGCAGAACGCGCCACGAGAGGCTTGATGCTTGACAGAGTCCGGGAGCTAAGTCCGGGTGCAGAGGGTGAATTTGGCGCCGGGTTGCAAAACTTTGCGCCCACATGGTCCACACACCTGACCCAATTTTTATTTCGACGAATTTCGAAAAAATCATGTTTCCGAGCGTGCGGTTGACGCGTTGTGTCGAAGTTAAAAATGAACTCCTAGTACCTACAAGATGTAGTACGTAGAGAACTAGTGGGCTCACGATCTCTGCTTTCGACTGCGGCAACGCTGTCAGTCCGGCGTATCCAGTTTGTACGCAGACCCATTTTGACCCAACTCGTGGCAGCCCAATCTGAGTTTACCCTTTCTCAGACGAGGCGCTGTGGTCCCTTCCAGGCCGTAATGGTTGTTCGTCGGGTCACTGCATCTGATCCGGCCATGATGAGGCTCGCGCCGATTGCTCCGCTGATGGCTCTCGTTCGTGCCGCACCCACCCCCTCCAACATGTGCCCAAGACCGATCTGATTACACGAGGTGGCGGCTCGCAAACCTCACTTTTGAATTTGCTCGCCATGGTTCGCATCGCTCTTGCCTCGTTGGCGGTCGTCGCCGCGTCGTTCTTCTCGGCCGATGCCAAGCCCTTCTTGTTCCACCACACGGACGTGATTGAGCAGTTCGAAGCGCAGGGCGGGTCGTCGCTCGAGGCCGCGCAGCTCATCAAGGAAGAGTGGTTCGAGCAGCAGCTCCTCGACCACGGCCACGGTAACTGCGGCGGCGATGCGACGCACTGGAAGCAGCGTTTCTTTGCCAACGACGAGTTCTACGGCGGCCCCGGTTCGCCTGTCTTTCTCTACATCAACGGTGAGAACGTCGCGCGCAACACGACGGTGACGAGCAAGGGCCTCTTCATGAACGTCCTCGCCAAGAAGCACAAGGCGCTCATCGTGTCGCTCGAGCACCGCTACTACGGCAAGTCGCAGCCGACCGCCGACCTCAGCACCAAGAACCTCCAGTACCTCACGGCCGACAACGCGCTCAACGACATTGCGACCTTCCAGGACCACTTTACCGCCAGCCGCAACCTCTCGGCGTCGACGCCATGGGTCGCTTTTGGCGGCAGCTACCCCGGTATGCTCGCGGCCTGGACCAAGTTTTGGTTCCCCAAGCGCTTCGTCGGCGCCGTCGCGAGCTCGGGCCCGATCGAGATCCACGCCGACTACCACGAGTACATGGAGGTCGTCGGCACGGGCCTCAAGTACTACGGTGGCGACGAGTGCGTCAACACGCTCGCGGAAGGCCTCAAGCAGTTCCACAAGATTGTGGCCAGCGACAAGCCGGACGACGTTGCGACGCTCAAGAAGCTCTTCAACCCGTGCACGCCGTTCACATCGGACTTCGACCGCATGGACATCGAGTCCAACGTCATGGGCGCGTACCAGAACTTTGCCCAGTCCAACGACTACGCGGCGTACGGCCTCAAGCACGCGTGCGCCGACTTGACGGCCAAGGACGGCTTGAGCCCGCTCGAGAAGGTCGCCAAGATCAACGCGCGCAACTTCACGCCCACGAACAACTGCACGAGCTCGTCGTACCAGGCCGACTGGATCGACTTCCTCTCCGACCCGGCCATGGATACGGTCAACATTTACCGCCAGTGGATCTTCCAGACGTGCAACGAGTTTGGCTTTGGCCAGACGGCCAAGAAGTCCAAGGGGCCCTTCTCGGCGCTCGAGTATGTCGACGTTGACCGCGTCTACTACCACATGTGCAAGGAAGTGTATGGCATCACCGACCCGGACGCGCGCATCGCGGCCAAGAAGGCGACCTTCCACGGCCTCGACATTGACGTCGAAAACGTCATCTTCCCCAGCGGCACCATCGACCCGTGGTCGGCCCTCGCGCCCACCAACTCGACGCAGCTCAAGAACCCCAAGTCCAAGGTCGTCTATATCGAGGGCACGTCGCACTGCGCCGACATGAGCTCGCCGCGCGCGACGGACTCGGGCCACATGGTCTGGGCCCACCAGCAAGTCGAGGCCGCTGTCGCCAGCTACCTCCAAAAGTAGAGTCGCCGACTGCAATATCTTTGTAATAACAGTGGTGTCGTTTGGATATTTGACATACTGTCTGTCGTCTCCTCGGTTGGAAGGCTCGGTTGGAAGGTTGGCGCCGCGAATATCTTTGTAATAACAGTGTTGTCGTTTGGATATTTGACATACTGTCTGTCGATCTACGTCTGCATTCAAGCTTCCTCCTCGGTTGGAAGGCTCGGTTGGAAGGTTGGCGCCGCCAGCGTCATCGTTGCACCATTTGTTGTTGGATTGGTTAAAATGGAATGAAAATCACACACGCAAGCCAATCAGCGCAAGCCTGGCTTTTGCCAGTGTCGATGGTGTGTCCCAGCTGCGCGACGTGGCAGGTCTTCGTCGTTGTCGTCGCCGTCGGCCTCGTCGGCCTCGTGTGCAACTACTTGGCCGTCTCCCAGAGCCTCGAGCCCAGCGCGCCGCCAAGTACGCTACCGCCACGCTACACAGTGCCGGCGGCGGCGGCGGCGCCTCGCCCGCCCCGCGTCCGCAACGCGAGCATCGCCTTTGACACGGTCTTCAACGTCGCGACAGCGTATACGCCCAAGTTCCCGTGGGCCGACCGCGGCATCGTGCTCTGCCTCCACGACCACGTCGTGCCCATGGGCGCGTCGCTGCTCCAGGAGCTCCGCGCGCTCGGCAACTATGACCCGGTGCAGGTCTACCATTGCCTTCCCAACGAGCTCGCGACCGTCTCGCGCGACCTCTTGGCCTCCGACCCGCTCGTCGAGATCATCGACGTGTGCTCGCTGCTTCTGACAACGCCGCTCTTCCCGTCCTCGGCGTCCATCCGCGAGTTCCAGGGCTTTTGGCTCAAGCCACTCGCGCTGCTCTTCTCGTCGTTCGACCAAGTGATGCTACTGGACGCCGACGACATTTTTCTTGAAAATCCATCGACGCTGTGGGCATCACCGAGCTACACCGAGACGGGCACGCTCTTCTTCTACGACCGCGTCGTCAACGCGAGCATGTTTCTCAACACCGCCGTGACCATGTACGCAGCAGACGGCACCGAGACCAACGTGACGTACATCAAGCAGCTCTTGGCGCAGGTGTTTCCGCTCAAAGTGCTCGGCTTTCCGTCCCCGCACGTGCCGTCCCCGCAGCTACAAGCGTCGATGGTGTGGCGCGGCCACACGGCGCACGAGCAAGACTCGTCCGTTGTGCTCATCGACAAGGTTCGCGCTGGCCCCAACGTTCTCCGCGCGCTCTTTGTTCTTATTGCAACCACCCGCTTCATGAACCCTGTCTTTTCCTGGTGCGTGGAGTCCGAGAGGTTGCTTTAACCTCCACTACCTCTGCGTCTAGGGGCGACAAGGAGGCGTTCTGGCTCGCCTACGAGCTGGTGGGACAGCCGTATGCCTTCTCGCCGTGGGCGTGCAGCGTCGTCAACCGCGCCGACGACTTGATGCTGCACAATAAAACTCTGTGCGGCAGCCTCGCGCACTACGCCCCTAATGCCTCGAACGCGTCGCTGCTCTACATCAACGGCCGGGAAATCATCGATCCGTACGAGAGCCGCCTCGACCACCGCGTGCTGTGGGGCGACTGCTACCACCGACTAATCGAAGCTCTGCCGACGCACGTGGCCCCGCGCTCTCGCCGCCACCCCGCGCAGGGGGAGCGCGGCGACTTGGACCAAACCTGCCTCATCGGTGACGGCGCCGTAATGTTTGCTACCAACGCGACGCAGCACCGCCTCGCCCAGCGCGTCCAATGGTCGATCGAGGTGGCGCGCACGATCCAATCAGCGTTTGCGGACGAAGATTTCCCCTTTGGAATCTTTCTTCTTGCCGCCGGCTTTGTGATCGGGTCCCCGATTGCCTGCGTTGTGCTTTCTATGCACGACGCCTGAGGTATACGAGCCACATTCTAGATCCATGATTGTGTCGATATTGTCGTAAGAGATGGAGAATAGTGTCATCGATCGGAAGACGTGACGTAAAACACACACAGCAACACGAGCAGCACGCCAAAAAAGACGCCGACGACAACACTACTCTGGAACTTGACGCTTTTTTGCAGCGTGGGGCCGCTACGAAAGGCCACGTCCAAGGCTTGGGCGGCCTCGATCGTCCACACAATTCGCTGACGGAGCTGCGCGGCGTGATGCAGCGGCTCGGCACCCATCGCGACGAGGCACGACTCGTCCAAGGACCCGCGGGCGGCGGCGACCGGGCCTCGTCGGTGCCGAGGTGCAACGTGGCGGGGCATCGCCGTCAAGAGCGTCGTCAAGCGGTCCGGCCAGGACGGGCGGCCATACCCCCTCGAGTCGAAGGGCTGGATGATGTCTTGGCCGTTGATATAGAGCAGCGTCGCGTTCGATGTCTCGAGGGGCGCGTACTGGGCGAGGCTGCCACAGAGCGAGTTGGGGTCCACGAGCCGATCAAAGGGCCGGCTCACGACGCTGCACGCCCACGGCGAGAACCGATAGTCCTTCCCACCCAGCTCAAACGCAAGCCAGAACGACTCTTTGTCTCCCCTACAATTGATGTCAATCGAGTCCATAACCTGGTGTAAACATACCACGAAAACGGAGGGTCGAGAAAGCGAGAGTCCCGAATGAGGTGATGCAAGATCTTGAGCACGGTAGGCCCCGCGCGGACCTTGTTGATGAGCACGACAGAGGAGTCTTGCTCGTGCGCCGTGTGGCCACGCCACAGCATCGATGCGCGAAGGTGCGCCGACGGCGTGTGCACGGGCGGGCGGCCAAAGCGCGCTAGCGGAAACGTCTTGATGAACTCCGTGATGTAGCGGCCGGGGACGACAGCTCCATTTTCGAGCGTCACGTTGACAACGCTGTTGGAGAACGCCGTCGTGTTGATGACGCGGTCGTAGAAGAAGAGCGTGCCCGTCTCGGTGTAGCTCGGTGACGCCCACAGCGTCGATGGATTCTCAAAAAAAATGTCGTCGGCGTCGAGCAACATCACCTGGTCGAACGACGAGAAGAGCAGCGCAAGCGGCTTGAGCCAGAAGCTCTGGAACGCCCGTGCCGCCTCAACGTCCTGGAAGTGCCCCGCTTCGACCAAGAGGGAGCACAGGTCAATGATCTCCACGAGCGGGTCCTCGGCCAAGAGCGTCCATACGGGCGGCGCCAGCTCAGCCGGGAGGCAAAAGTACACTTGAATCGGGTCCGTGTTGCCGAGCGACCGCAGCTCCCGGATCAGTGACACGCCCATGGCGGCGATCTCCGTGTGCAAGCAGAGCGCAATGCCTCGGCGGGCGGCGGGGAACGCGGGCGCGTACGACGTCGAGAGGTTGAAGAGCGCGTTAAAGGCAACCGAGTGCGCAGCCACATGGCGCGCGTCTGGCAAGGCCAAGCGCTGCGAGACGAGCCAGTAGTTGGCGACGAGACCGAGCAGCGCGAGGGCCACGACGCCCGCGCCGACGCGCCGCAGTCGACTCATATGCGGGAAAGTGCACTTGGCGCTGATTGGCTATTCGTTGGCCAATCCTGTCACAGTCGAGGGATCCATCAACCCACGTTTCTCGCTCGCATGGAGCGTCTGTCCGTCCGAGCCGACAGCGACGAGCGATCAAGCAGACGACAGTGCTCTTGTGCACCATATGCGACGCGCAATGTAGCGGCGGCACCGTAGAGCTGGGCACCTCTGTGCTCTACATTTTGCGCCGTGACTTCATGCGCTTGGTGGAAATTTGGTGAAAATTTCGGCCAGCTGGGCGAGTGTCCACGCAGTGCATTCGTGATCGGTGGTGCGGGCGGCGCAGAGTGTGTGGTCCGCACGGCGCCATGTTGATGGGATCCACGCAGGCGCTCGCAGCGTCCGCGCCGTTACTGCGCCCGCGTATCTTGCCATTTTCAAAATTCGACATTGCCCTTCAACAAGTCGCGATCTGATCCTGCACGTCATTTGGTCATGGCCGACGTGCTGCTCGTGCCCGACTTGCTGCGATGCATCGTGCAGTTCCAGCCAGGTCTCCCGCCGGAGACGCTGTCGCTGGTCCGCCACCTCCGGCGCATCCACCTCTCCAACTACCAGCTCACGACCTTCCTGCGCGACGACATGGCGCCCTTCCACGACGCCTTTCCGCCGTGGCTGGTCGTCCATGGCTTCCGCGGCGTCGAGGTGCTCCTCGAGCGCAAGCAAGCGTACCGCGCCCACCTCCTCTACTACGCCCTTATCCATGGGCACGTCGCGCTGCTGCATTTCCTCTCGACTCGCACGCGCATCTCGGCCAAGGCGTGGGCCCTCGCCTCCATCTACGGCCACCAAAACATTGCTGCGTACCTCTGGGCGCACTACGCGGCCTTCTACGACGAGAGCGTCTCGGACACGGCGGCGCTGCACGGCCACGCCGACATGATTGAGCTCCTACACAAGGCCGGCGCGCCGATGCCCGCGTCGATCCGCTTGACGGCGTGCGCCCGCGGACGTCTTGGTGTGCTGCAGTACGCGCATAGCCAGCGGCTTGGCGAGTGGCATCCCGGCGGCGTCAACGCTGCGGCGCGGGGTGGCGATCTCGACGTTCTCGAGTTTCTACACGAGCACAACTACGAGGGGTTTGGCCCCGACACGATGAACGCAGCCGCGCTCTACGGCCACCTGCACGTCGTGCGCTTCTTGCACGAACACCGCAGCGAAGGGTGCTCGCCGGAAGCCCTTGTGTGGGCCGCCAAGTACGGCCGCCTCCCGCTCGTCACGTTTCTCGACGAAATGCGCGCCGAGCGCGACTTGCCCCGGGCGCTCCGGGCAGCCATCAAGCACGGCCACGTCAATGTTGTGCGCTACCTCGTCCGGCGGCATCTGCGCGAAATCGACGTCAAGGCGGCCAAGGCGGCGGCGTTGCGCTACAACCAAACGGCCGTCCTGAGCGTGCTCAAGACGGCGACGCCGGGTCTCTGTGTCATTCAGTAGTGTGTAAATATAGTGTTTCGTAGTTCAATAACTGTACAACTCGGCGCCTTTCCACCCGACAAACATCAACGAGCTGGAACCGTGGGCGTGTCAGGATCCGAGACCGCCTCATGTGCCTCCGAGCGTTTCATTCATGCGGTACCGGTACCGCGGGAGCATTATCCGGATAACGCCGGCGGAATCATTCATCGCGGACTGTGCTAGTAGTATGTATTAAAGTCGACGACTTGCCGCGGCGCGGTGCGATGATTAACGCGTCTACAATTGTAGCACCTGTAGCCGCGCCATACTTCATCGTTCGTGCACGCTCCTGGTACCCCAGTGTTTCAGTTGGCGAAGCACTTTGATCTCAGCCGATGACTGCTGGCATCTCGGGAACGCCCCAGTCCCTCCTATAATATCCATATCTCGGTGCAGATGAGGCCTAGCAGAAGCCCTTCTACGTCGTTCTTGGCGCTTACAGACTTGAATATTTTCTTTCCAGAAAGGTCGACAAATACGCACCGAGGACGTCCTCGGAAGTCGTCCTCTCCCATGGAACAAAAATGGCGAAGTATGGACATACAAACAACAAGTGTGGCGATCCAACCAATCACAGGGCGTGCGTCTCTCCAACTCTCAGTTTTCAATTTCCCCAAAACCTCTCACGACCATGACCAAGACCATTGAAGTTGCGCTCGAGCCCCACGAGCAGCTCGCGACGTTCGCGGCCGGCTGCTTCTGGAGCGTCCAGCTCCACTTCCAGCGCCTCGACGGCGTCATCGACTCGCACGTCGGCTACATCAACGGCAAGACCGTCAACCCGACGTACCGCGAGGTGTGCTCGGGCGAGTCGGGCCACGCCGAGGCCGTCCAGCTCAAGTTTGACGAAAACAAGATCTCGTACAAGGAACTCGTCGAGAAGTTCTTCGCGATCCACAACCCGACCACGCTCAACCGCCAGAAGAACGACGTTGGCACGCAATACCGCTCCGGGATCTACTACCACAGTGACGAGCAGCGCGAGATCGCCGAGGCCATCAAACGCGATGAAGCTGACAACTTTCCATCCGAGATTGTGACCGAGATCGAGCCCGCAGGTCCGTTCTACCACGCGGAAGAGTACCACCAGCGCTACCTCGAGAAAGGCGGGCAGTGCGCCCGCGTCGGCTCCACGGACCGCATCCGCTGCTACGGCTAGCACTTCCTACCCCGTCTATATATAAGCTACATAATTATGCTCTGACAATATATCCATCGGACCCAAAACGTAAACAAGTAATTAAATACACCACCGCAAGCTACTGCACAGCGCATGAGGACCGTGCAGGCCCCACCGACTTGATGTACGACGTGAGGCTCGTGCGACCGCTGGATATCGCAAGCTGCCGCCCGACCTTCAAGTCGACAACGGCAAAGTCGTTCTCGACCATGTACCGCACAACGCCGAGATGGCCGTTGGCGACGGCGCCAGTCCACGCCGCCTTGGTGCAGCCCTCGCGCCGGTGCGTGTGCAGGTACCGGAAGATCTCGAGGCAGCCGAACCGACCGGCGTTGTCCATGGCCGCCGTCGAGAAGACGCCCAGCTTGTGCTCGTTGGCGTACGCGACGATGTCGAGTCGGTCTTGGCGAATCGCGGTCAAGAGCACGTGCGCTGTCCAGAGCGGAAACCCGTTATTCCGTCGAAAGTCCACGGCCTCGGCGTCGGTCGCCGCCTCCACCCGCGGCGAACCATACCGCGTCGGCGGGCTGTGCACCGATCGTTGGTGCGCAGAGCTCTTGGGCTTGGCAAAGTCGGCCACCAGCCGCACGACGCTCGGGCCGGTGACGGTTGACGGTAGCGAACGACGTCCCAGTGCTGTTTTTCGTGGCACCGGCGAGGGCATTGGGCGTGCATCCCTCCCTTCGATGCGTGTGCAGGAACCGGACGATCTCAAGGCGCCCCGCAGCTGCTGCCTCGTCCATCGTCTCGGCGGTAAAGCCACCGCAGCCTTGCTCGTGGAGGTACTTCAGGACATCGAGATGCCCTTGCTTGGCCACGAGGCTCGGGTTCACGGGGCGCCAGGCGTCGAGGTGGCGAAGGAGCTTGACCAGCGCAAGGTGGCCTCCGTTGCACGCGACACTGGACGCGAACGGCGGGATCGTGCCGCCTTGGCCGTGCAAATACTCGACCACCGGCGCCTGGCCCGTGCGCAGGGCGTGCGCCATGGCCAACGGCACGTACGTTGGCTGCTTGCGCTCGATAAAGTAGGCCAAGACGCCGACGTTGCCGAGGCGCGCGGCGAGGATCCAGTCGTCGCCGTTAATGTCGAGGTCGCAAAGGTTATCCAGAAGCCGCACGTTCGAGTACGCGATCGCATACTGCGTGAGCCGGAAGCGCGTGCTCGGATCGCTCTGCAGGAGCGGCGTCAGGTCCGTCGCGCGCGTGTGCTGGGCGAGCCACGGCTCAAAGAACGCGTGGAAGGGCGCTAGCGCGGTCTTGACGTTGCGGGTGTCGCCGTCGCCCTTGACGAGCGCGCGCAGAAGCTTGACGTCGAGCGGGACGCCTTGCTGGAAGTCTGCAATCGCGCGCACGAGCTCGGGCAAGCGGAGGACGCGCAGGGCCAT